ATAACCTACCCTCCTCTCTCTCTCTCTCTCTCCCTCTCTCTTCTTCCTCCTATTAGGAATATGGAGGGATTGTCAAACCCATGTTTTTGCCCGATTTACCATTATTTTAAATTTAACTTCTAAGTGATAATCATTGGTATCACTTTGTATGGAATACTATTTGGTGCAACTTCCCATATCTACCTTAAAGTTTGTCATAAACTTTTCACATCCACTCAAGACTCAGTGATGATTTAAAGGTGTAATTAATTTATACTTTTTTTTAATTAACTTAATTTGGTGATAGCCCCACTTCCCGTATTACCTTAGAATAATTCTCTTTATCACACGCATTATATATCAAGCATCATATATTTCATCTAATATCAGATAGAGCCGTCGATCTTTCTATTTCATTCTCTCTTGCACAGAACAAGAGGAGAACAATATCGCCCTCAGAATGTTTTTTCAATTGAAGGATAGAGAAAGCAACGTACTGTATAGATTTATTTATTTCTGATGATTACTGGAATGTCAAACATACACACACACATACACATACACGCATACATACACACGCGCATACACACATACACATACATGCACACATACACATACAAAAACAATTTTCTTTCGATATGACATTTCCCTTTGTCATTCATTGTCAACATTCATTATGCTGTGACATGTACTACGCATTCATGCATCATTAATAAATTAATAAAAGCAAATAATATCGCCACTTTTGTCAGCATTTCACGTTCATCTATCACTCAAATAACTAAACAAACTTATACCGAATTATTTTATACATTTATTGCTTGGAAATTTCAAATTCAAAGAATTTCATTTCAGAATAAATATACGAAAATCAGCTGGTCGGGAGACACTGGCACCTGAAATTCTTTGAGGTACTGCGGGAGAAATAATAAGAAATGTAAGCAATAATTGAGGGAGACAATAAATTTCAATTTCATCTATGACACTACTACAACAATCACCACTTATCACTAACATGAAACCTTATATTAGTTCTCCGAAATTTCTCACTTTTCATCATCAATTCGTCTATTTGCTTATAAATTGGAAAAGTAATTTAATAATTTATTATTATTTGGATCTAATATTAATGTTCCAAACTTCACCTCTGATGAACATCTGCTTTGGACCTTCCCTTTCGATAAATTTTTGAAAATAAACAAAGTCCCATTTTGAAATTTATAAATTTATATGATGAAAAAATATAGTGAAATGGAGGGATTTACAAGTTTGTAAATTGTTCAATGAGTAACAAATATATCACTTTGAGAAGGAAGCAAGTCATCATCTTGTAATTGGAATGGAAATTATTCATATTCATAAGACGGCGACAAATAATGTTTAAAATCATTGGAATGTAAAAAGATAGCAGAGAGATGAAGAGAAATGACTTTTTCATGGTGTAATTTATTAAATTGCGCAAAAATGCATCGTAATTTCAAACGAAACACATTCATTCCAATAAGTAAATGTATGAATATATTTTATAGAAAATGAGCCGTTTTAGGAAAACTTGTATTTTTTAATTAGAAATTTTTAAAGATAAAAAGAATTTATAGGAATGAATAAGAGAGACTTGTTTTAAATGTCATTCACAACAAAAATGCCACAAATCATTTGCATCAAAATACGATATCAATCCCTTCTCTGTCACTTTTCTGACAAATAAAATTAATAGATTATATTGGAATCAAAATCGGTAACAGTAATGTAAAGCCATAGCTGTAGTCACTTAGTGTTTCGTTTAAGAATTCCGGATTAGAAGATAAGATAAAAGTAATGATGCAAAGAAAAAGGAGAGAAAGCTAAATTTAAAAAGTAAAAATATGACCTACCTTATGACCAAAAACCATTAAATTCGTAGATTCAGCCTTTCCTTTTTTGCTTTTCCTTAAATCTTCCATTTTCTCGACCGAATCATCGAGATCCTTGATGCTTTCATCAGTGGTACACAATGAATCCAGTGTTACTACTTGCAAGGTTTCCGAATTAATGTCAGAGTCTAAGTTATCCGTAATTGTAGTATTAAGTGAGTGATCGTCAGGTAAAGTTTTTTGCGGATAAGAGCCAGAAATTGCATCTGTTGCTGTGTTTTCCGGAAGTGATGAGATGGTACTGGCTTCAGCATGAGGAGCAGTAATTTTCATAGTGGATTGTGAAGAACCTTCAGAAAGTTCACTAAGTTCAGGGGAAGGTATCAGTGTCCCCAACGATTCCGTAGATGTTAACGAAGTTTTGCTGGAGTGGACTGAGGACATATGTGTCGTTAAGTCTGAAGACAAATTTCTTGGTTGCTCATATGACACAGTAATTTCGGGGCGTTTTTTGCCGAATGTTGTATGCTTCCAGAAACCGGTTATAGCTTCATAGAATTTATTTTTTGACTGTGCTACTTCACCACTACTTGATTCCTCAGAATTTTTCAATGGTTCTATGCTGCAGGTAATTTTAGATTCATTTACCTGCAAATTTTCCACAGTCTGAGACTCTCTTACTGGGCCTTGTTGATAAGTGATACTTACTGGTCCATTGCTATCGATCCGTTCACTGCTTCCTTCTGGAATTTCCGGAGAACTTTCTCTGACTACAACATTTGAAAAAGTAGTATCTTCCGTTGATCTTACCGCTTCGTCCGAAATAAGTTGCCCATCAATCTTTTGCAGCGATTCAGTAATATATATACCAGATTCTAACAGATTTACTACATCTGTAGCCTCAAGTCTTTCCTTTCCGAATTCCTTTACGTTTTCATTTTCTTCTTCGACTTCTTGTGATTCAAGTTGTTCAGTTCTTTCCGTAGGTATGCTGCTTCCCGTGTCAGCATTCTGACTGCCAACAATTGAATCATTTACTTCAATATCGACTTCAGTTCTTGAGGGATCTACGGAAATACCTGTTTCTGAATTTTGAACATTCGAGCTATCCACTTGTTCGAGATTTCTTCTGACTGCGTTAGCTTCTGCTTTATTGTCAATCCTATCCAGATTTCTGTCCCTCTCTGCTAATCCTTCACCCAGCATGTCTAAATCTTGACGGGCTAAAAAATCCGGATTTGCTGTTTTCATATTCAATTTTTCTGAAATCTGTGCTTCCGAAACTTGCGTGTGTTGTATGCTTTCTGCACCATGCATTTTCAGGAAGTCCTGCTCAGTTGTTTCCACATCATGAACAACTACCGACTCAGATACATTTGATATAGGTACAATATCGATATCCGGTAAATTGTTTTTTTTAAGGTCTATTGTTTTAGTTACCGGATTGTCCATAACTTTAGAAGCATTAATATCTTTCGTTTCATCACATATTTCGGTTAAATTTGATTCGGAATCATTTTCATCCACATTTCTCTCTTGAATCTTTGCAGGAGAAGTTCCTTCAATCTTCCAATCGCTTTCCTTCGAATCTGTTTTTCTAGGTGGAAAATATTCTTGATTTTCTTCTTTACTTATGCAAATTTATGCAGCAGGCTTGAATTTCTACTCAGAAAATGGATTTTTATTTTTCTATTGCATCATCAGGCTGCAAATTTTCCAAAATTGTATGCTTTGCCTCCTCT